AGAACAACCACATTTACAACCTTTTTCTAAAAAATCAATTGCTTTTTGATATTCATTAGAACCATTATATTTATTATCTTTGCTAATACTTTCCATATACATTTATCCCTATATATAATTTTATGTTCACTTTGTGGTTTTTTAAAATTGAGATGAGAGAAAGAGAGATGGAGAGAGACCAATCAAAGAACAAAATATTTAAAAAGGCAAAAAAATTAATAAATACTATATTTGCAATATTTTATTTTCAACAATAATTTAATAAAAATGGTTTCTATCTAAATAATTATGTATTGTTCTATATTTTAGTTGGATAAAAAAAAATAAAAAATAAAAAAAAATAAACTTAATTCGTGATCCGTGAAACAAGTAGTGAAATTTGCCGATCATCAATATGTTTTTGTGGTGATAATAAATAATATAATTTTCTGATTTTTTGGGAATCTGACACTTCCTCATGTGACTTTGACCACATAAAACTTACATATTTTTTACTACTCAAACTTTAAAAGAATATAAATATACTTTATTCATCACAAAATTTGGAAATTTTATTTCTGAAAATATTCTGGTGTTATTTTTATATCAAAAATATTCCCAAACTTTTAATTTTTTATATAACAATTTTTAAGTCAGGAATCCTGAGATTCTTACATATAAAAGTAAAATATTTTACAAGAATGTCCCTTTAAAAATTGGTATACGAATATACTGAGATTTGTAACATGTATTGCATATGAAACTGCAATTCTTAAAATGATATAAGAGATAGTTATATTAGTGATAAAAGTCAGGGTTCAGAAAATTTTAATTAATGTTTTACAAAAATTTGCACCAAATTCTGTTATGAAATTTCTCTACTTGTTACACATATCATGAATTAACTTTTTAATCCTTTCCTTGAACACAAACAATACACCTTTGTCACTGCTGATGTGTACATGTTTATCACAATATTCATAATATTTCATAAATAAGTTAAATTGATATACAAAATTCTCGATCATGCATAAATACAACTAATTTGATAACACAACTTTATTTTCATAAATTAAAACAATTTGATAATAGTATAATTGATCAACACATGAATTTTTCTTGCATGAGTTTAAAACCTTTTGTTTTATGTTGTATTAAATTACAAATAAAATAAATACAAATGAGTAGGAACAAATGATTAGCTTAAAGTATGTAAAATTGCTCAATTACTAAAAGGAAAAAATGCAATACCTTCTTAAACCTTATTATATTTATAGTGTGACATTATGTCTTCAACAGGTCTCGATATAACATGACGAAAACCAATTACTACTATTACAAAACCTTTTAACTTATTAGGATCCGATTTGACTATCTGAATCCTTTCATCCAATACTCCTTCAGCAGAGTAACCAACGACTTGTCCCTTTGCAATCGTATTCATGTACAATCCCACCTGTTTTACTCCATTATTTAATATTCCACGTATAGATGTTTGTTTCATCTTATTTTGTTCCTCAGACCAATATACATATTTCCTTCCAAGTAAAGTTTCTTCATCTTCTTTTTCTAGAATCTTATCTAATTTTTCTAATTCATTTGCATCAATTTTTTTCATTGAACTTCCCTTAATATCTCTTATCAAACCAGTTAATGAAATGTACTTTAATTCTAAACTAATATTATTACCCTCAGCTCCTCCCAGAACAAAAATGTCAAGATAGCCAAAGTGACCTGATCCCTTTTGTTTTTTGCTATTCATTACCAAACAAAGTTCTGGAACACAGTATCTTGATGGGAGAAGGATCTCGACAATTGCCTGGAGGACAGGCTCATTTGCCGAACGCAGGGACATTCGTGATCTTGTTTAAGGTTTCTGGTCGAAACTGCTTCTATTAGTAGCCGAAATTGCCCAAATACTTTGGGCAAAAATTATTTTTTAATAAGCCCAAACCACTTTTTGTTATTAGCCAAAATTGGGCGAAATTATTTTAAAGTTGTTTAAGTTAAAACAAGTTGATTCATATAGTTTTTTAATGTTGATGCTTATAGAAAATGTTGAGAAGCCCAAATTGCCCAAACTAGTTTGGGCTTTGAGAAAACAGTTTGGACCAGAAACCTTAATCTTGTTATCAAGAAAGCCTTTACAATCTTTATAAAAGGAACGATATTACCCATGACAAGATCATTATAGGCTGAAACAACAAGGAGGGCATCATCTGCAACCTGTGTGCACATCCAAATGTTTGATAAAGATATTTTTGTATGTTAAAATAAAATAATAGAAAATATAATTACTCACCTCAGATTTCAATGAGATAGATGTAGAAGCCTCAATTATGTTCTGGCTTTTTGGTCGCAAAACATCTATATAATTGCAATGATTTTCAACTCTCAAGAAAAAATAATTTTCCATTCACGTTATTAAATACCATATATTTCATACCTTTTCTGTTTTTTTCTGTTGATTGGAAAAAATTTAATTTTGTTTGTTGCAAAGTAAAAAAAAAAAGAGAAAATTGTATTTTAACTAGAATGGCAAGTTGTTTAATAATCTCAAAAAACAATAATATTACTTACTTATTTAAATCTCCAATTCTTTTTGAAGGATTTATATTAAAAAAAAAAAAAAAACATGTAAATAAAATATTTATTTTATTACAGCCTGGGATTGCAATGATTGCAACCACCATCATTTTCTTTAATAATTATAATTAATAATAATAATAATAATATTTACTCAACAATCTCGTGATGGTTTGTTTCATGTTTTCTTAGTTTGTTCCTTTTTGTGTCATTTGGCCTTTGTAATAGTGAGGGAAAAAAAGGTATGTAAAATAAAGGAAAAGAAAGCAAGATGAATGAAATTTGTTTAGAGTACAATTAAAAGAGGAAGGAGGGAGAAATGACAATTAAGATGTGTGTTTTGAATAATTTTAAGAAAAAAACTAGAGTTGCGGTGATTGCAACAACCACCATTTAATAAACACTTACCCTTTGGAATCGGCGAGCTCGATTCCTTTGCGTTTTCTTTTTTGTTTCTCAACACTGACATGGTTTTTTTTTTTAAAAAAAAGAAAAAGATTGTTATTTAGATCAACATACACAAGAAAAATTTTATTTATGCGAGTGTTGTTGTACAAAGATTGTTATCAGTCATCCATGATGTCACAATGAGTGATTTTGTTATAGCGATCGACATAGCACTTTTCTGTACAACAGACTTTAAAACCAAAAATGAACAAAAAAGCATGATCAAGCATCCTTCATGTTTCTATGTAAACATATTTTCATAGTTTTGCTCTTTCAATCACAATCTTTTATACTTCATTAGCTTTTTTCATTCAAGAGAAATAATTATTCGAAAAGGCACATAC